TCTCGGCTAAAGGTGAGTTTGACCCAGCTCCAGTCATCAGAGACTCCACATTCATTCTGATTCAAAAACCAGGCTCTGACCCTTACTTAGCTATGCCCCCTTGGGAGTGTCAGTTCCCCTCTCTGAGTCTTGGTTTCTTCGTGAGTTAAATGAGAACAGTGATACTTATTTCATAGAGTTCTGTGAAGAATAAATGATAAGTGGATATATTTGGCCACCAAATCTGTGTTTTACATTGTTTCTGATATACTTTTCTCTTAGATTCAGAATCCGTTACATTTTGTCTTTCAAATAAAATATTTACTTAAAAGAGGAAAGGCTGGGCTTGGTGGCTCAGCCTGTAATCCCAGCCCTTTGGGAGACCGAGGCAAGTGGATTGCCCGAGCCCACGGGTTCAAGACCAGCCTGGGCAACTTGGCGAGACCTTCTCTCTACAATAAAAAAAAATCAAAAAAATTATCCGGGCGTGATAGCATATGCCTGTAGTTCCAGCTACTTGGAAGGCTGAGGCGGAAGGATCGCCGGAGCCCAGCAGGTCGTCGCTGGGGTGGCTGTGAGCGTGCCACTGCACTCCAGCCTGGGCAACAGAGTGAGACTCCAACTAAAAACAAATAAATAAATAAATTTTAAAAAGAGATAAATCTACGCTATTTATGATTTTTTTAAAAAAATACTGTTTCCCTTGTTTGGATTTCGTGCTCACTAAGCAATCTTCTAGTTACAATTTGGTTTCTATATAGCCAGACTTCATTCATTTACTCATTTGACAAATATTTCTTGAGAGGCTACTGTGTCCTTATTCTAGGCACAAGGGGACATCAGCAAGAAAGATATTTCTAGAGGAGGAAGACAATAAATTTTATAAACATTATACAATACAGTAGAAGGTGATAAGTTATTACCTTCTTATGGATAAAAATAAAGCATAAAAGAGGGATGAGGGTAGTGGGGTGTTCTATTTTCAATTAGAGACTGTCTTTTTTTTCTTTTGAGTCAGAGTCTCACTCTGTCGCTCAGGCTGGAGTGCAGTGGCATGCTCACGGCCACCACAGCCTTGACCTTCTGGGCTCAGGTGATCCTTCTGTCTCAGCGTTCCAAGTAGCTAGAACCACAGGCACGTGCCACCATGCCTGGTTGATTTTTTGATTTATTGTGGAGAAGAGGTCTCGCCATGTTGCTCAGGCTGGTCTTGAATCTCTGAGCTCAGGTAATCCTCTTAACTCTACCTCCCAAAGTGCTAGGATTACAGGCGTGAGCCACCGTGCCCGCCTGAGACTGCCTTAATCATATATGTCATGACCCATAAGATACTAATCTCTTAATGGATTACAGTCCAGTTTTCTTTAAGCTATGGTAAATGCATTCTCTGTTGTGGGTTGATAATATCAATGCAGTGAATAAAATAGTTTTTCATATATTTCATACTTTTAAAATTCCAAGGCTGGATGTGGTGGCTCACGCCTATAATCCCAGCACACTGGGAGGCTGAGGTGAGAGGACTGCCTGAACTCAGGGGTTTGAGACCAGTCTGGGTAACTTGGTGAGACCCTCATCTCTAACATAAATAAAAAAATAAGCTGGGCATGGTAGTGCATGCCTGTAGGTACAGCTACTTGGAAGGCTAAAGAGGAAGGATTGCCTGAGCCCAGCAGGTTGAAGCTGCGGTGGCCATGGGCATGCCACTGCACTCCAGCCTGGGTGGCAGAGTGAGACTCCATCTTCAAAAAAAAAAAAATTCCACACCATCTTTATTTTTATTTTATTTTAATTTTTTTTTTTTGAGTCGGAGTCTCACTTACCTCCTCTTGCCTTGGCCTCCCAAAGTGCTGGGATTACAAGCTTGAGCCGCCGCACCCAGCCTCAAATTATCATATGTTGAGTTTTCTCCAAAGCATACCCTAAGAGAAGGATTTGAGGTGAAGTAGTTTAATTGGAAGGTGACCCCAGGAAGCACCACTGTGGAGTATGTACGTGAGATAGGGAAGGAAAAAAAGCCAGAATACGCTGTGTTTATGAGCCAACTTCAGCCATGGGCACCTGGAGCTCAATCCCACTGAAGACCTCCAGGAAACCACGGAGCATGCCTGAGGAACAAGGTAGCTGACACTTTGATCTACCAATTATACCCACCATCAGATGAGGGCTGCTCTATTAGCATAACTGGAAAGAGGGAGGCATAAGCATGGGGGAACATGTCCTACACTGTGGCAAAAACCTCACAATTTTTTTATTTTCCTAATTCAGAATTTTAAATGCAGTACCCAAACAGAGATTAAGCTGTGGTTTTCCTTTCCCCAAATAAGCTCTCCACATCATGATGCAATATCATAGATAAGATAGTGGGAGAAATGCTTAAAATTACTTAAAGAACAAGATTATTTTCTAATGTACTCAGAAGTCTTAGAAGCCCTGACTACCTAACATGCTAATGACAAATCATTATCTGTTAAAGCAAGTCCCATGAGGATCACTAATTTGATTTAAACTCTAAAAATAATGAAGTTGCATTTTTTAGAAATAGTCCACATTAACATTTCTTTCCTTGTTCAGAATGCCTTATCTAACTGAATTTGTAATATAAAACACTGGTTTCTTTTTTTACACTTTAATTTTATTTATGTATTTATTTTTGAGTCAGAGTCTTTATTTATTTAATTTTTTTAAGTCGGAGTCTCACTCTGTCGCCCAGGCTGGAAAACACTGTTTTATATTACCAAATCTAATTGATCATCTTAGCAACAGTCAACAATGAAAATCTAGATATTGATTTGCTGTCATGTTATAACATCAGCCAAGGGGACGTTGTTCTCGTCACATGCTCTGACATTCCCAAAAATGAACTACCGAAATCAAGGCTGTTTCCACACAAAGTAAATATGGGTTAAAAATTGTGAGTTTCTTCTGGTGTCCATTTACCCCTTTTTTGCTTAGGAGACTAGAGTCTCTGTGCTTCTTTGGGGACCAGGAAACACAGAGCACCAGTAGCGAGGCAAGTGTGGGCTTCAAGATCAGGAAGAAAGGTGCTCAGGAGGTCATTTAGGTCAATGCAGCAGTGGAAACTGGAACATTAGCCACCCTCAAGGCAGTGTGATTGTATGTGGACACTATAGTCAGGTATACCCAGGTTCAAGCCTGGCCTTACTGCTCACTAGCTGTGTGATCTCCAGCCTATTACTTTCTTTCTCTTTACTTCAGTTTCTTCATCCGTAAAATGGGGGTGATAAAAGGACTTCTTCAAAAGGTGTTGTGAAGAATAAATGAGATAATACATCTTGGATCATGAAGCACAGTCTCTGGCACATAATAAACACACAGTACAGGTACTCAACCAAGAGGCCTATACAGGAGACGAGAGGTAACAGGGCTCAAAGGGGCTCAGAATGGGTTAGTCACCACACTGAGCTTTGCAGCCATTGCTTCTGCAGAGGCCCTGGATTTTAAAAGTTTTTTTTTTTTTTTCCATTTGTTATTTTCTAGATCACCTTGTCTCTTGGTGCTGATACACTAAGCATTAGGGGTTCCTCTGGTTAAGGGGATGGTGGATTACTTTGATATAGAACAAGGCTGCATTAGCTTCCATGTCTGAAGATGAGGTATTATCTTTCAAGTAATGCTAAGCTGACCAGAATCCAAATTCTATTTCCTGCGTGGCCTTAGCCAAGTCACTGAGCCTCTCTTATCCTCAGATTCCTTGTTGATGATAATATTTACAAACAAGCCAGGCAAGATGGCCCATACCTGTAATCCCAGCACTTTGGGAGGCTGAGGCAAGAGGATTACCTGAGCTCAGAGGTTCAAGAACAGCCTGAGCAACATGGCAAGACCTCGTCTCTACAATAAATCAAAAAATCAGCTGGGCATGGTGACGCGCTCCTGCGTTTCCAGCTACGTGGAAGGCTGAGGTGGAAGGATTGCCTGAGTCCAGCAGGTCAAGGCTGCAGTGGCTGTGAGTATACCACTGCACTCCAGCCTGGACAACAGAGTGAGACTCTGACTAAAACAAAAACAAAAACAAAAACTTACAAACAACCATGTAGGTAAAGGGCATCCTAGCGTAGGTGCTTCCGTGATGCCTGGTATTCTGGAGCCACACTTGCAGCCCATCACAGAGTGTCCACTCCCAGGGAAGTTCTATTAGAAACAGTTCTAAGGTTCACCATCCAAACCTTGAAGCAAGGCCCTGGTCGCCTCTTCATCTGAGTTTTTACACACCCCCTTCCTGAAACTGGGCTGAAGATTTACAAGCTGCTTACACAAAGCCACACATTTGGAATTCTAACTGAAGTGATGGAGTCTTCAGGTGTCTGCCACTCTGATTCAGTCCACTCTGATTCAGTCCTTGACCTGGTAACTCTCTAATCTAAGAATTGTAGAGATTCACCTATGTAGTAAACAGAGTCAAAACTCCTCTCTGCCAGGACCTCAAACTGCATCTATTTGTGTATTTATCTGGACACTTACCAGCTTGGTTCAGCCTCCTGGAAGCTCATCCCCACCTGTTCTCCTTGCCATCCCCCCATCCACACACAAACACACACATGTCTACACACACAAATTGCACATTACCTAGTTAGGGACAGTTGCCAATGCTCCATAAGTCCAGTATTTGCGGATTTACACATAAGTGTGGTATTTTAAAAAGAGATGCAGCTGGGCACAGTGGCTCATGCCTATAATCCCAGCACTTTGGGAGGCCAAGGTGAGAGGTTTGCCCGAGTCCATGGTTTCAAGACCAGCCTGGGCAACTTGGCAATATCTCATCTCTACAATAAATCAAAAAAGGAGCTGGTCATGGTGGTGCGTGCCTGTAGTTCCAGCTACTTGGAAGACTGAGACAGAAGGATCACTTGAGCCCAGCAGGTCGAGGCTGCGGTGACTGTGAGCATGCCACAGCCTGGGCAACAAAGTGAGACTCCAACTCAAAAAACAAACAAAAAAGGAATAAAAAAGAGATGCAATGATATTATGAGTGTTTGATATGGTTTTCTTGCCTTTTCCAGGGAAAACAGAAGCCTATTTGGAAGCCATCAGAAAAAATATTGAATGGTTAAAGAAACATGACAAAAAAGGAAATAAAGAAGGTAGGAATTTAGTGTGGTTAGACCTTGCAAACTCCACCCATTTGTCAGGGGCACTTGTTATATGAAGATTCCCACAATCAATGTGGCTGGGCTAAAGTCTCACTTCAGACCCCAAAAGACTCCAGCCACCTCTCAGATGCAGGGGAAACAGAACCTCTATTTCTCTTAGCATTCCAATCAGCCTTTCAAGCAAAAGTATTTTCTTTTCTTTTACATTTTATTATGAAAAGTGCCAGGCAAAAGTAGAGTGAATAGTATCATGAATCCCTGGGTGTTCATCACCCGTCTTCAATAATTATCAGTATTTTGTCAGCCTTGTTTTATCTAGCTCCCCTTTCTTGGAGTATTTTAAACAAAGGCATTTATCTGGTGCTCCCTGCAGTCACAAAAGCAGTCACTCACATAAAACAAAACACAGAACCAGACCCTGTTCTGAGTGCCAGAGATGCGAAGGGTGATAAGGTGCAGCCCCGCCCAAGGAGCTCACGGTGTCCACAGAGCTATCTTTAGACCTGCTCAGTGCTGTCATGGGTAGGTGTGGCAGTGCCTAGATGGTAAGAGGATGGGTTCGATCTTCTCACCAGGACAGACACAGTTGGGGAAAAGGACCACAGGAAAGCCTTCCCTGAAAGGTAAGAATCTGCCAAGTGGGGAGAGATGGAGGTAGAGGGAGCTCTGGGTACCAAGACATAAAGGCACAAAGGAGGGGGGTGGTTCCAGGAACCAGGGCCAGTCATTTCCCTGGGAACACTGGGTGTCTGCAGGGAGGAACAGCCAATAGGGCTAGGAAGTGGGCAGTGGCCATGCAAGGAAGACACTTGTGCAGCTTGCAGAGGAGGTTGGTTTTAGCCAGGACACCTAAATTGGGGTCTAATTAGGTTAAGAACTTATAAATCCATCTGGCAGCAGTGTGATTACAGACTGGAAAAGTAAGACCCTGGATGGCAAGAGAGAGACAAAGAGGCAAGGATCTGGAGCAGAAATGATGGGGTTTAAAGCAAGTCAAGTCAGAGGAAGTCAGGAGGAAGGGAGAAACTTGAGAGCTACATGGAGAGAAAGGATCCTAGTATGATTCCTAGGTGTCTGGCCAGAGCAGTTCCAAAGTGATGTTTTTCAAATGAGCCAAGTAATGCTTCGCAAATATTCAAGTGCATCCAGATTACCTGGAGAGCTTCTAAATAACCCACTGCCCAGATCACTCTTCAGCACTACTCAACTACTCAGTCAGAAATTCTGGGGACAGATCTCTGACGATTGTACTTGTTCAACTCCCCAGATAATTCCAGTGTGCAACCAAGTTTGAGAACAGCTGCAATAGAGCACAGTGGGAGGAAGACTTATTTTCAGCACCCTTTTAGCTTGTGTCTTCTAAGTTGTGTGAGGGAAACAATTATCAGGCAGTTGAACATTTGGTTCAAAATCATATGAATTTCCAGGCTGTCAGTTACGTTAAAATTCACATAAACTGTAATTCATCAAATCTATCATTGATTGAAAATGCACCATTGTTTTATATACCACTAAGGAAGAGAAAAGTATGTAGCCAACTAAATTATAACCTTTAATCAAGACTGCAAAGACTTTAAGATAAAAATGTTCATCTTAGATGAGATGAGGCACGTTCAGGATGGTATAACCGTAGACATACGTTCATCTTAGAATCAATGTAATACAGTGTGTACCAAAATACATTTCAAAGCCACTGTAAGTTGTATGGTACATCATTTGGAATATTTGTTATTGTCTTCACTGATTAGCATGTGAATCAGACTCCTGGCCATAAGCAACAACATTCTGCAATTGTCTTCCTGGACCAGAAATGACCAACCTAGTGAAGCATGGAACTCTAGTGCTTGCATATGGAAGGCTCTTTTAGCAAGCTGGAGAATGATGGTGTTGGGTCTGATGTTTCCTTTTGCCTCCAGGCAGTGAGGACAATATACAATATGCTCCCTGGAAAATAGAATAGGAGGGTTCTTTCTCTATTGCCCTCTTGTATGCTCTGCTTGACTTTGGGTCGTCTGTCTAAGCCTGGGGGATCTAGGTCCTATGGAGAGGCTGCAGCTGTATGAGCAGAAAGAAGACTTACTATCAGTTCTGATCTTTCTTAACTGCTGCTGATATCCTTTGCTTGGCGGGAGCCTGGGTTACCCAAATCCCCTTCCCAAACCCAGCAAAGGGAGGTCCATCAAGAAAATCTTATGCAAAATGTATGCCTTTTAAAAAGTGAATCACAGACCTTAACTCACTCGAAACTTACAAGCTTAAAACCTCTTTTAAAGTCAGCAAGGTGGCCGATAGCTTGCGTACCCTAGCAGCCAACTAGGGAAGTGTTGGGATTAGACTCCGGGGACCTCTCCCCTGGACCAAGCTGGTTTTCCATAGTAATAACTATGCCATATAGATACAACTTTTCCTTTTCAAAAGAAAGCAAAATATTTGCCTGTTTGTCCATTCAAATCACTGGACCTCTTCTCATCTGTCCTTGGGAGCCTCCTTTTGTCAACCATTCAAGATGTTGACACTGCAACTGATTCTGAAGAGCCAGTATTAACAAACCAGTGACGAGCAAGAAGTGCTTTTGTGCCCTGTGAGTCAGGAATCAAGGAATTGTCTCATGAGGTGCATGCAAATGCACGTTCAGCTTTGTTCTTTATTTCATGCCTGGGAGAAAGGGAAGAGTCCAAAACAAAAACAAAAGTAAGCATGTATTGAACATTTGCTCTGGACCTATTAGATGCTGTATATTCAGTAATTCAAGGTCATAGAATGGCCAAGCAATGACAGCAGACAGACCTAGGTTCAGAACCTGACTCTAACAATACCTGAGCAAGTGACTTACCCCTTTTGCCTTGTTTCTTCATCTCTGAAATGGGGATACTAATGCTTTCCTGTGAGTGTGGAAAAAGCAACACTCAGCACACTTTTTCCTGTTCTCTGACTCAACACAATAATCAATACAGATGACTTCTGTGACCAGTTATGTGGGATTTTCTCCTCCACACATCAAGCAAGCAAGTACTTCTGCAGTGGACACCAGCTGGATGTCCTCCAAATCAATTCAATTTTGATGCTATCTACTTGGAGACTGTCAGATCCCACAAGCTGAGGGCTCAGTCCCACAAGACCAACCCCCTTCTTCCTACCAGTCACAGGCTTAGGCCTCCAGAATGTCTGATCAACCAGCTTCAAGTTGGGGTTCCCACAATCCTCTCTCTGAATTTGCTAGAGTGGCATACGTAATTCAGGGAAACACTTACATTGACCAGTTTATGATGGATATTTTAAAGAACACAAATGAACAGCCAGATGAAGAGTTACACAGGGTGAGGTCTAGAAGAGTCTCAAGTGCAGGACCTTCTGCCTCCATGGAGTTGGGGTGCACCACTCTCCACCTTCATGTCAGCCTCCATGGGTTCAGCTCTCCAGAAGCTCTCAGAACCCTGTTCTCTTGTGCCTTTTATGGAGACTTCATTGGATATGCATAATTGACAACTGTGTGGGAATGTGATTAGACAAAAAGAGTACGTAAACCCAGCAAGGCCTGTCTGTTCAGAGTCTTCTCAGTCTCTCTGTACAGCATTCCTTCCTCTAGGATATGGGGCAGGACTCCCTCTGGAAGGAGGATCTTATAACCCACAATCAGATTAGAGTCTTGCCTTGGGCAGGTGAAAGGAGAGCACAGGAAGGTCAGAGAGAGAGAGAGATTCTGTTTTCTGAGGCTTAAAGCACCCCAACATTATAACAAAAGACTGTGGCAAGAGCTATGGAAGCAAGGAACCATGGACAAAAAGCTATATTCAAAAGGGGACCCCCCCAAAAATGGAATGTTATTTATAAAAAATTGTGTATTTATTCTTACATGTTTAAACTTCAGTCACCTTCAAAGTACTCTCCATTTGATGCAATACATCTATTGAGATGTTTTCTCCAGTGCTCAAAACAGTTTTTGAACTTGTCAATTTTGATTGAAAAACTGAAGGAGGCTTTCAGTACTTCTGCCGTTTTTTTGTTTCACCGCTTCCACATCAGCAAAACTTTCCCCTTTGAGGACTTTTTTCATCCAGGGAAACAAAGTATCTCAGGGTGAGATCAGGTGAATAGGGAGGGTGGGGCACAGGGTTCATGCTGTTTTTTGTTCAACCCTAACACTGTGGGCAGGCGCGCTTGTAAATCACCCACCATGAAATGAATAAATGTGTTGAATCTAAAAAAAAAAAAAATTCACTAAAGCCAAAGGCAGCATCCCACGGCAATGCTAGGTGATACATTGATGCCCATGGGTTCCTAGAACACTTACTTAGCGGGGGAAGCCTGAACTATAATGGGCCCGCCCTCCAAAAGATAATTCCAGGTTTTCTTAGGGCCCCTTCGTATATCTGTAACAAATATATGTATGTATGTATCTCATAATATCACATTACCTCATAGGGCTTTGTGAGTAACAAATAAGATAATTGTTGTGAAATGCTCAATGCTAAGAGTTTTTCCTTTAGATCCTCATGGCCACGTCCAAACAAGGAGCAGATGCCCTGCTTGCTGAGAGGAGAGAGCTGTCTCTGAGCCTCACTCACCTTGACATGATGAGCATTTGGTGCTTGTAGAGAGGTCCTTCATGCTTCATTTTCCTTTCATGCAAAGATACCCAGGTTCAGAGTACATGCAGGCTAGCTAAAGGCGGTAGGGAAACATTGCACTTTCATGCTACTCGCTCCTTTCTTTCCTCTTTACTAGCTGACAGAGGGAGGGTTCTGTTCTGGTCATCTACAACTATAATCATATAATACTTAAGAGAATCAAAGGAAAATGTATGTGTGTGGGTTTTTTTTAAGGCTTTAGAAAAGTGCCATAGGCAGCCTCTTTACTTGGGGATCTCTTTATTTTTGATAGGTGGTTTGATAATTTATATAGATTTTGTTTGTTTGTTTAAGTAGGTCAGAGGAACCATAAAGAGGTTATGGGTTTGCCCTTTTTGCACTGTGCATACAATTCAAACAGCATGAAATAATTAAGGCAATTCTTAATTTGGAAAAAAAAAAGTGGGTTGTCACATCAACAGGGACTTAACCTGGTGTAACAAGTTCAGGAAGTCAAAAACACCTGGTTCTGATCATAATTTTTACTACCTGTGTGATCCTGAAAAAGACACTTAAGTTTTAAGATCTTGTTAACCCAAGTGTGGTTCCTGGACCAGCAGCATTCACATCTCCTGGGAGCTTGTTTCAAATGCAAAACCTGTGCCCCCATCCCAGACCTACTAAATATGAATCTACAAAAACCCAAGAACCCTAGGTAATTGGTATAAACATTAAAGTTTGCAAAGCCCTGGTCTGTAAGCTGGTTCCTTCCTTGGCCAAATGGGCTAGTACTCCTCGTCTGAACACCACAGCATTGTGATGGAGAGCAGACAGTATAATACATGTAATCTTTTTAAACTGCGAAGTACTGCACAAATGCCAAGAAGTAAAATGTCTTCCAACGTGAAAGATGGGAATGGTAATTGTGTTATTGTACAAAATGTTAATGGTAATCACTGTAATGGGACTGATCTTTCCTGATCTTTGCTCATGATACTCTAAAAATGTTTTCCAGATTATGACCTTTCAAAGATGAGGGACTTCATCAACCAACAAGCTGATGCTTATGTGGAGAAAGGCATCCTTGATAAGGAAGAAGCTGAGGCCATCAAGCGCATTTACAGCAGCCTGTAAAAATGGCAAAAGACCCGAGTCTTCAGACTTTTCAAAAAACATAATATAGCTTAAAACACTCCTAATTCTGTGATAAAAGGTTTTTTGAACCAAGGATTATTAGAAAGTGCTGAATTTACAGTAGTTAACCTTTTAGTAGTGGTTAAAACATAGCGTTCTTGCCATAAAAACTATCTGAAAAGTAAAGTTGTATGTGAGCTGAAATTTTGAATGTAGAATCCTTATTTCCTCATAGACTAAACATCTTATAATCAAGAGGTATGCTGCTTTGAAAAAGTCCTCTAACAGACCGAACATAAAACTAACTCTTCTTTCCACTATCTCACACACACAAACACTCTTGGAAGAATTAAAGAGGTTCCGTTTTCAAGGCATGCGGGGTGCCAAAGCACCTTGTAGAATGTCTGCTAAAGATGTCATCTCCACGAGTGGTTCTCTTTTGGGAGTTGAAATAAATTCACCCTTTTCTCAAAGCCTCATAGCTTCAGGAAAGCCATCTGCTTTTTTGGCTGCTCTTTTCAGCTGGCTCTTGATAGGCCCAGAGGCACACAAAGGAACCTGGAAAATGGCTATAGGGTTTGCTGGATTTATTAACAATTTCTCCTGCTCTTAACATTTCCTATTAGTGAGTTTTCAGACATGGCGTTAACTTATAAAGAGGGATATTTATGTACTCGCCAAGAGGACAAAGGAAGTCATAAACACAGTATAAAGCAAGGTAAAAATATATGCCAGATCTCAGTTATCTAAACTGGATTTGATCCAAGCCGAGGTTCCTCAACAGAGAGCAAAGGGCCAGACAGTGAACTTCAGATCCCTGCAATTCTACTCTTCCTCAGTCACACCATCAACATGGCCCCTGGAAACAACCATCGAGTGGCCTGAGGTCCACTTGAAATGTGAATGGTTGATCGCCCTAAAACAGAGAATGTTTTCAAAATGTATTATTCAGTGTAAATTAACTACATAATTATTTTTCCATATATTGGCTTGAAATTGTAAAACTAACATAATGCTTTGTGTATTCGTGGTCACTACTTCTGGTTCACAAAATGGCCTTCTGATGCCTCCATTGCTGAATGCCCTGCCTAGTATTCAACTGTTTGGTGAGGACTGGGAAACTTACAGGGAAGCGATAAGAGGCTGTCTTTCACGGGCAGGGGACATTGCTGTTCCTTCCCATCCTCCAGTTGCAAAAACAAACATAAACCAAAGCCTGACACACACATACAAACTTAACTCTGTATGTTGTAGAGAAGCCAGTATCCATTGGTGAGTGGCTAGAGGCAAGGAACTAAAAACTCCTTGACCCAATGAGTCACAGTGTTTTAATGAGTCATCTCTGATAATATGACCAACTCTACTTCAGCCACGCCCAAACAGGCTGCTTCTCCATCAGACAATGAACTGGCTCTGGCTAAAGCACTTTATCCATTCACTTTTCTATAATGTCTGTAAGTATCTATGCAGTTGTTTTTTAAAAATAAGAACTTCGCTTAAGGAGTTTATTGTAGTTTTCAAAGTACATTGGCATCCATTAGCTCCTATCCATAACCAAGACATAAGGAAGATCACCAGTCTTGTTTTGAAAATGAGGAAACTGGCTCACAAAGTGAACAGGACACAAGATATGCTTAAGCTCCTGCGGCCAAGAAGTGGGAAAGCTGCAACTGGAATCCAGGTTTCTTCTCTCCCAGCCCACGCCTCCAACAACTCCATGGACTAAAGTACTCTAGTCCAGTCCAGTTCAACTGGGGCCAAAAAGAATTCAAAGTTACTAATAACTTGAAGATGAGCAATGTTTTGGCTGGAAATTACTAAAAGAAACCTTAGTCAAAAATAAAATACTCAGAAAAATGTTTTTGAGATTGTGGTCTTAATTTCAAATGTGAGTTTTGCCTTTTGGATGTCTTTGGATTTATGTCTATAGGATTATTCTCAAATTTCAGATCATTTTGTTACATAGCATAATAATTCTACAATTTTAAAAGTTCCTAGGCTCCCACAAGGGCTTGCTTGGGCGCTTTCTTACATATAAAACTGTGTCTCCGCTTTTATTCGTTTATTTTTCTCTTCTAACTGCCCACAGTTCAGATAGTAGTAGATACAAGAAAACTGAAAATCATGCTCGAGAGGGCACCCTATTTCAAAGATGCTAAAAATAACAGGAGAAAAAAAAAGACACAAGGGTTTATGAATGTTAGGCTATGAACAAGCAAGAAACTCGGCAAGACAAGGGCCGATAGCTACTGCTTCCCACTGATGCGCTAGTTGGTCAGCCTCCAGGGTTGGATCAGTACAGTTCTAGTTCTGCAAGCTCTGCAGCCTTAACACTTGAGGCATGTGTTTCCTGCTTAACGGATGACCTGGATAGACAAGACAGGGAGGAAGAAAATGAGGAAAGAGAAAAGAGGGAGAGAAGAGAAAAAAGGGAGAACAAAAAAGAGAAACGAAAGACCTTTTGCTCTTTTTGGCATGTTGGGAAGGGGTAGATACAGGGAATTTTTTTGGAAGCTTAAAGATTTATTTAACGTAGTAGCTGAACAGAAATTGAGACCAAAACAATAATTGTATATATATACTGCTTAAAGTTTACTGTTGGTCAGGTTCGGTGGCTCAGCCTGTAATTCCAGCACTTTGGGAGGTCGAGGTGAATGGATTGCCTGAGCCCATGGGTCCAAGACCAACCCGAACAACTTGGCAAGACCTCATCTCTACATCAAAAATTAGCCAGGTGTGGTAGCATGTACCTGTAGTTCCGGCTACTTGGAAGGCTGAGGCTGAAGGATCACTGGAGCCCAGCAGGTGGACGCCAGGGTGGCTGTGAGTGTGCCACTGCACTCCAGAATGGGTGACGGAGTGAGACTCCAACAACAACAAAAAAAGTTTACCGCTGTGACATATACATATAATGAAGGTAAGAGAGATTATGTGAATAAAACCTAACTCTCAATTCAAATGAATAGTGACCACAAAACACTCCACAGCTTGACTTAGCAATAAAACCTAAACTAGAATTCTGCAACGTAGTATTATTCACTTGTTATTTTTATGTATTCCATGTTTTCATTATATCTGAATCACACTAAGTCAATGAAAAATGCCAGGGTTACAACTAACTGTAAATGATTTGCTTTTAGATTATTGAAACTTTTTAGAATATTGAAAGTTTTTTTTCAAAATTGCAAAGCCATTAAAGTAAGGAAGTAGGTGTCACCATTTAAAATCAATTTAATTTTGCCATTTGCTAAAAAAATAAAGACTCAAGTTTGAAAACATAGTTTATTTTCTCATTCAGACTTTTGTAATTTATTTTTACAAAATAGCAGACAAAATTTGGTTCTTTATATTAATACAGAATATGTAAGACATCGAAATATATATGTATATAGCACTTAAGTTATAAACACACAGCAAATTCATTATCACTTAAACAGCAACCATGTTTTTCACATAATTTGGATTCATAAGGAGATTTTTTTTTTAGCTTAAATATATAAATAGTCTTTGATGCTTTATGTCAACCAGTATTTATAAAAGCTAGTCTAAAAACTACCACCACCTACAAAAGTGATGAGCTTTAGAATATAATTTTGCCATCATGCCATAATAAAGACTTAAAATTTATAGAAAGCCAGTGGGAACTAACCACTTCAGTGCAATTGCAGTAGGTGGAACTACCTGATTATGATTTGAAGATGTATGCTATGGATGCTTTTGAATCTGCAGCTGTTGGATTCTTTATGGTTCAACCATGTTTTAATCCAGGTTAGAGTTACACCTCCAAATCACCTAACTGTGATAGAGGGAAGTTGCATAGGGACTTTCTTCATCTCTGGAAAAAAAAATATAGCATAAATCAGTGTTTAAAATTATATCCAGAAAACTAAAACATATACATATGGTACAATTATATCCACTTGCCAAAAAAAGAGTATATCAACTTAGAATGTCGTATATGCCCTGAAAATTATATGAAGGCCAAGCGTGGTGGCTCACACTTATAATCCCAGCACTTTGGGAGGCTGAGGTAAGAGGATTGCCTGAGCCCACTGGATCGAGACCAGCCTGGGAAACTTGGCGAGTCCTCATCTCTACAATAAATAAATAAATAAATAAAAATTAGCCAGGCATGGTGGTGTGTGCCTGTAGTTCCAGCTACTCAGAAGGCAGAGATGGAGGGATCACTTGAGCCCAGCAGGTCGAGGCTGTGGTGGCCATGAACATGTCACTGCATTCCAGCCTGGGTGACAGAGTGAGACTATGACTCAAAAATAAATAAATAAATAAAAATTAAAATAAAAAAATAAAAAACAAGAAAATAAGAAAGTTGTATGAAATGCCAATATTTAATTAAGGTGTACCTCCTTGTGTCTATTTTATTGATGTCTCAGTTATTGGAATAGTGGTATTTGCTTATACATTTATATTTTTTATCTCATATTTAAATGTAGCATATTCAATTTATATTAAATTATATTCATATTTATATTTGTTTATATTTTCTGTATTCTACCTCTGTCTCAAAAGGATTTGAGGTACCTACAACAAAGGCACACATATAACAAGATGAATAAAACAGTAATAAAAAATCAGAACTAAAGAAAGGAGAAGAGCCGGGCTCGGTGGCTCAGCCTGTAATCCCACACTTTGGGAGGCTGAGGTGAGTGGACTGCCTGGCCCGCGGGTTTGAGACCCACCTGGGGAACTTGGTGAGACCTCATCTCTACAATAAATCAAAAAAAAAAAAATCAGCCGGGTGTGATAGCAGGCGCCTGTAGTTCCAGCTACTTGGAAGATTGAGGCGAAGGATCGCCGGAGCCCAGCAGGTTGAGGCTGCGGTGGCCGGGAGCGGCCACTGCACTCCAGTCTGGGCGACACAGTGAGACTCCAACTCAAAAAAAAAAAAAAGAAAGGAGAAGGAAACCAATGTATTAACTATAAGAAATACAACAGTCGATCCTAGGTATTGATTTTAGTTGCAAGCTTCCCAGTACCCAGAGCAAAAAAGGAAACACAGTAGGTTGTACCTTCTTGAAATCATAAAGGAAGAAGTAAGCTAATTCTACAGGAGAGAGAAAGGTTTGCCCTAGTATCCAATTTAAAAACAAAGAAAAAAGTTCGCTTGAGAACTTATGTAGGAAACACCTGTTAACAGGTAACCACAAGTATCTCTGATACATTTTATAAGGATCAACATTTTAAAAGTATTTTCTAGGGCACTGCTTCCTTTGAAAGTGTCAACGAGGTGCTTTTGCTTGGCTGCTGTCCAGAATTGCTCATTGGACAGTTATGCTATTAGGGCAAAGAAGGAAATTTTTAATAATAATTAATAGAGACAAAAGCACAGCATAAAGCCTTGTGCAGCAGGCAGTGCTCTGATTTAGATTTTGTATATCAAAAAATGCCTTTTCAGGATTAAAATACAATTTTTAAACTAAAAAAAAAAAAGAAAGAAAAGAAGGATTTGGATTTGGCTCAGCAAGGACATCTTAATAATAATTTATTTAGCCTCTTATTTACCAGGTTTTTTTTTTTTTTACCTGCTCTCTTCTTTTAGTTTCTTGGCTGCCTGTGTTGATAACTTAATCTGCAAGTCCAGTCTCTGCAGAAAATCTCTGGCTGAGACTTCCTCGGGCTGCACAGACAGAGCATTGGATTCTTGAGGACTGGGAGGAGGGAGGTCTTCCCCAGTCACTACTGGCTCCTCTTCATGAGAAAAACTATCAACGGTTTCATTTTCTGGAGAATCAATGGAGTTAAGTCCATTAAACAACAAAGGCTTCTCTGATATAACTGGGATGCTCAAAGTTTTCTTCAGAAATATGCAATCATTGGTAAACAGTTTATTGGCCCTTTTAATCTGCTCCATCTAAAATATAAAAAAGGAACCAGAGTTACATATAACCAAGTTGAGAAGAGTTTATTATACAATACAGAACTACAAATATTCATGAGCAAAATGTGTGCAACGCTTTCCTTGGATTTGAGAGTCTTCATTCTTTGCTCACCTCCCCAGATATCTCCAGTTATTTCAAGCGATTTCAGGAAATTCTGTTTTTCAATTTTAAAAAAGGACAGACTAATTTTTTCTCACTATGTTATTTCCACTACAAGGCAGCTTTTATTATCAATGACCTTACATCTCTGAAATGAAAAAATGTAAAATTTTTACACTTGATAAATTCCATTCTTGTTTTAACATATCTATTGTTTGATTTTTTTTTTTTTTTTTAATGAGACAGGCTCTTGCTCTGTCACCCAGGCTGGAGTGTAGTGGCTCAATCATAGCTTACTGTAACTTCAAACTCCTGGGTTCAAGTGATCCTCTTGCCACAGCCTCCTGAAGAGATGAGACTACAGGAATGTGTCACCATGCCCAGTTATTGTTTTAAATTTTGTAAAGATGGGGTCTTGCTATGTTGCCCAGGCTGGTCTTGAACTCTTGGTTTCAAGTGATCCTCCTGCCTTAGCCTCCCAAAGTACTGGGATTACAGGCATGAGCTGCCATGCCCAGCCCCCGTTACTTGTTTGTTTAAAAAAATTTACTACTGCTGTTATTTTACTTATAGAGTACTTTTCATGTCTCTAGAACTGGGCTTGGTAAATACAGTTGTCACTTGGGACATGCAGGGATTGGTTCCAGGACCCCATTATGGATACCAAAACCCAAGGCTCTTCAAGTTCTTTATATAAAATGGTGTAGTGAGCCGGGCTCGATGGCTCAGCCTGTAATCTCGCACCTTTGGGAGGCTGAGGTGAGTGGATTGCCTGAGTCTGAGAGTTCAAGACCCGCCTGGGCAGGCAAGACCTCATCTCTACAATAAATCAAAAAATCAGCCGAGCGTGGTAGCGCGTGCCTGTAATTCCGGCTACTCGGAAGGCTGAGGCAGAAGGATCACCGGAGCCCAGCAGGTCGAGGGTGTGGTGGCCGGGAGCGGCCACTGCACTCCAGTCTGGGTGACAGAGTGAGACTCCAACTCAAAAACAAACAAACAAACAAACAAAAACAAAAAAACAAAACAAAAATAAAAATTTTAAATGGTGTAGTATTTGCATATAACCTACAAACATCCTCCCTTCACTTTAGATTACTTATAATACCTAACCCAATGTAAATGCTATATAAATAGCTGCACTGTCTAGAGAATGACAAGAAAGAAAAGTCTGTACATGTTCAGTACAGATGCAACCATCTACATTTTCTATCCACGGTTGGTTAAATCTGAGGATGCTGAAATGGTGGATGCAAAGGGCCTACTGTATAACAGACACAGGAGCTGAAAAAGATGTAAGTAAAATCAGAATTTGGAAGAATGGTATATAGGTGGGGCTGTAATCATTAAGAAAGGCCTACAGCGATGGTGGTTCTGATTTGATTCTTATGACCTCAGATGGATCTTGAAGAATGGGTAGACGTGGGACAGGTAAGGAAAGAGGGAAGGGGGCATTTTGCACACAGTGTTGCCTTCTTTCTATATTATAGAATGGATACTTGAAGATCTGCTTTACAATGAAAAGAAACAAAGTGTGTAGAGATTATGTGCCATGGAATCATCAGACAACTGGCAGATGAAGCAGCCAGAATTTAACACAGGCTTTTATAGCCCATGGATGCCTTCCCCAAAACACAGAGGTGGGGAAGAGAGGTGGGAGTGGAAGAGGGAAGAGTATTTACATTTTTTTTTTGAGCCAGAGTCTCACTCTGTCCCCCAGGCTGGAGTGCAGCGGCATGCTCACGGCCACAGCAGCCTCAACCTGTTGGGCTCTGGCGATTCTTCTACTTCAGCCTTCCAAGTAGTTGGAACTATAAGCATGCACCATCATGCACCATTAGCCCAGCTAATTTTTCTTGATTTATTGTAGAGATGAGGTCTCACCAAGTTGCCCAGGCTGGTCTCAAACCCATGGGCTCAGGCATTCCTCTTACCTTGGCCTCCTAAAGTGCTGGAATTAGAGGTGTGAGCCACTATGCCCGGTCAAGAATTTACATTTATTATCATATTAAACCATCATAACAATTCTGCAATCTAAATATTACCATGTTCTTTTTCACAAGTGAGGAAACAGAGACTTGAGAGAATAAGTGGCATGCCTAAGTCCACATCGCTGGTAAGTACAGACGGTCTCACACTATGCTGATTCCCAGCTCAGTGAAGAAATGCCTACTCTCAGGTTCATCACATCATATCATGATGTCTCTACAGACCTCTCTACCCTGCTGGCCTAAGAACACATACCAAGTCAGGCATTCTACATGTACTGCAGCATCTAATTTTCTCCACAGTTCTTTCTTGTGAGGTGACACTGAGACAGTTTGGTGCAATAGATAAACATACAGTCTTTGGAATTTGACAGATCTGGTTCAAATCCTAGCTCCACCAGTATACACAGTATGAACATGAGCTTATTACTCATCTCATTGAGCTTGTTTCTGTAAAACAGGGATCGTCTACCATTTCATTGAGCTTGTTTCTGTAAACAGGGATCGTCTACCTTTAAATGAGGGCTTATTTGCACACTCACATAGAGGACAGATACAGATATAAATATAGATATAGACATAGATATGGACATAGTTATAAAAAGATAATATATATGAAAATATGATACATACATTCTCCATATATAATATATATAAAAGGAAAAATAGAGAGAACATAGAATGCCTGGCAGTGGATGGTACTTACTACTCTCCATTTTGCAATGAAGAAATTAAGACACACAAGACATGATGGATTTGACCAAGTGCATATAGTTCTTTAAATGTTTGAAGTGGGATTTCTGTCTGACTCTAAAGTCCATACAATATCTGGATTAAAGTGCATGACTAATGGGACTACATTATGGGGAGTCTTTAATGCCAAATGAATTCTGAATGAAAAAAAATTATATTTCTACTTCAAAATGTCTGCTGAAACAACAGTCCAATAAATGGACTCTGCTCCTCCTGCTTTGCTATTATAAGCTGAATCCATGCAAATAGTGCATATAAAGCTTTTTCTTTCGAAGCTACATTAAAGGAAATAGACAAAAGGGTGGTCTTTGTGTTCCAGTTTTCTAGTTTAAGGAGAGAAGGCAAAGATGAGAGAGAACTACCACGGGCACGTGCATGTTAGAGACAAAATTAAAATGTAAAAATCCCAAAGTCTCTGGGCTAGTTAAGGTTTGAGAGGGTTAATAACCTGAACACTTCGCCCATAGCAGGCACAGGTATGTTCTACTCTGCCTTTAGAACCCCTAGCTCTTGCCTCCTGGCATCCAGCCCCTCCGTCTCTCTTAGCGCCCAGGCTTCCAATGGCACTGAACCTTTCTCTGGCTCCAGAGTGCGGGTATGACTCAGCCCTGCCCTTTGAAGTATCACAGGTTTTCGTGATAGATCACAATCTCATCTCAGAATCATTCAGACATGTGAGGAGTCTTTTGCTGGGTCTGTGAAGAGCAAAGTTCTCCACAGTTTTCTGCTGGCAGGAGATGGGCTGGAGATGTTGGCAGTTATCCTGCCTCTCATGGAACCTGAGCGTGAAGCCACCTCAGAGGTGAGCATTTGGACCTTTGGATCACAGCCTGAAGACAGAACACCCTCAGACCTTCCAGTTCTATGAGCTGACAAACTCCATTTGGGTTTGGTTTTTGTTTAGGCCCATTTGTTTTGTTTTGTTTTGTTTTTTTAAAGCTGTGGGGTGGCCAGGTGCAGTGGCTCACACCTATAATCCCAGCACTTTGGGAGGCTGAGGTGAGAGGATTGCCTGAGCCCACAGGTTCCAGACCATCCTGGGCAACTTGGTGAGACCTCATCTCTACAATAAATCAAAAAATTAGCCAGGGTATGGTGGCGTGTGCCTGTAGTTCCAACTACTTGGAGAGCTGAAGTGTAAGGATCACCTGAGCCCAGCAGGTTGAGGCTGTAGTGGCTGTGAGCATGCCACTGCACTCCAGCCTGGGCGACAGAGTGAAACTCTAACTCAAAAAAAAAATGTGGGGTACAATTCAGGATTAGGTATATAAGTGGTCATTGGTACAGGTAAAGTTTGGGCCTCCCTTTGGTCCTTACTTTGCCTGGTTTGAGATCAGGTACCCTTATTGATGTTGTGTGTTTAGGCCCATTTGAGTTAGATTTTCTGTCACTTGTAGCTGAAAAAACCCTTGTTGATAGTGTCCTGTGAAATGCTTACTGGAAGGGGACTACAATTGCTAATAGTCATTGCTTTCTGGGAATAGTGATGGAGGACAGAAACAGATGGCAACACCAGGGCCTGAATTGCTGAGAAGAGCTGGGAACAAGAGTACACTGTGAATTCCTTCAGGACAAGAACTGGTTATTTCTATAGCGGCCCTGGTCTAACAAAGATCTTATATAAACTAAGTGCTTGGGATGAATAATTAATACAGGTCAGGGGAATGGGCTAGATGAACCCAGGGAAGTAACCAGAAAAGGGTAGTAAGTTATCTGCTGTGCTGGTTCTTCTCTTAAACCCAACCCTCTCCTCCCAATCCATTCCTCACTCTTCTTTTTTTTTTTTTTTTTTTTTTGAGTTGAAGTTTCACTCCGATGCCCAGACTGGAGTGCAGTGGCCGCTCCCGGCCACCGCAGCCTCAACCCACTGGGCTCTGGTGATCCTTCCACCTCAGCCTTCCGAGTAGACGGAATTACAGGCGCACACTACCACGCCCGGCTGATTTTTGATTTATTGTAGAGATGAGGTCTCGCTGCCCAGGCGGGTCTCAAACCCGCGGGCTCAGGCAATCACTCACCTCAGCCTCCCAAAGGCGCGGGATTACAGGTTGAGCCACCGAGCCCGGCTCCTCACTCTTCTTGAACCTGTTCTAAAGAGGCTGACTTTTTAGGAACTGCATTACCCAAGCCTCTTT